ATATTTGCTTAGAGATACATAGTCTTACAGTCTTTTCTGAGAACAAAGAATGACTATTTGCTTAATCATTACATGATTGTCAGGAAATGCTCAAGTGTTCAGTAGGGAGTCAAGATACATTACAAGTAACTTTCAAGCTTCCTTGGACTTGGGGCTCTCACTCACTAAGACATTTTGAAGTTGTGTCTCAGCAACCCACAACTATGTGAGTTCATGGGCTGGTGGTGAATGACTCCCTTATCTTCCTATCCCTGCATCCAGCCCAGCACATCCCTGAGTCCTGTGGGTTTTACTTCAGAACTGTCTCTCCTATCCATGGTTTTCTAGTTCCTCTGCCAATGCCCTTGTCCAGGTTCTTACCATGTCTCACCTGCATTATTTCAACAGCCTCTTAAAAGAGTCTCCCTGCCTCCAGTCTCATTCCTCCCCCTACCTGTCTTCCACTCTAATGCCAACATCCTGATCATGGTGGTCTTCTGCTTAACAACCTGAGTGCAACTGCCATTGCTCACAAGATCAAGTCAGAAGGGCTGGGAAAGCAAATGTGCCTTGCCCCATAAGGGACCCTTTGCTTCTCAAGCTTCACCTCCTGTTACTCTGTTCTATGCACTCTCCACTCCATGGCTTCTCACAGGTTTGTGGACACACCATGCGCTTTCAAGGCACCATGCTCTTCTTTCAACCTGGAATGCGATGCTTTCCCCTTCTCCATCTGGAGAATGATTCTGCTGTAGACTGAATGCTTGTGTTTTCCAAAATTCACATGCTGAAATCCTAACCCCCAAAGTGAAAAGGGAGGCGATTAGGTCACAAGGGCAGGGCTCTTATGAATGGGACTAATGTTCTTATAAAAGGAACCTGAGAGCTCCCTCATCCCTTCTGCCATGTGAGGATGCAGTGAGAAGATGGCCATCTAAGAACCAAGAAGTGGGTCCTTACCAGACACTAATTCTGCTGGTGCCTGGATCTTGGACTTTACAGTCTCCAGAATTGTGAGAAATAAATATCTGTTGTTTATAAGCCACTCAGTCGATGGTATTCTGTGATAGCAACCCAAGCTGACCAAGACTCCTAGTCATTGGAAGACCTTTCCAGACATCACACCTGGGAATCCTTCACTTCATGACACTCCAATAGTATCTGTATACATCTCTTTTGAGTGACTCTTATGAAATCATATTATAATGAAAATTCATTGGTTTTGATCCTATCTCCTAAGCTAGAATATGAGTCTTTGCATCCTTGGCACTTAGTGCAGCACTGGCAAAACATTGATGACTAATAATGACAAACACTTAATGAATTCTTATCTGTGCCAGGCATTGTACTAAGTACTTTCATGTCTAAATTTTGCAGGAGAGAAAACAGCCTCAGAGAGGTTAAAGAAACGTCTAAGGACCTCATGCAAATACGTGGTAGAACTAGTTTTTGAGCTCCAGTTTATGAAATTTGTTTTCTTAGTACTAGTTATCAGTATTTCTTGAGTATTAATAAATACTGATAACTAGTATTTGAAATTCAATTAGTATTCATTGAACAAATGAATGAATGCATGAACAAAATCAGTTGTTTGAACATTTGAAGAGTATATCTTCAAGTAGCTGACTGTGACTGTTCCCTTGGCTCAGAAAAGGGAGAGGAGACTTCTAGGTAGAGGTGACAGAACATGGAAAGCCTGAGGATCTGAGCATGGAGGCTTAGAGAAGTGCATATCAGAGTCAGGCTTTGAGCTAGAATAGGTTTCTAGTGCAGGGACTTGGAAGGTTGCCTTCCAGCTTACAGTGACCCCCTCTCCAGGAAAACTCCAACACAAAGATATTTCTAGTCTGGGGTAGGTTTAAGGAGTCAAGAGGGAGCTCCATGTTCTCTGGGGAAGATCACTCCTCCCAGGCCTCCATCCTCCCCTGCCAGCAGCCGAGATGCCCAGAGCTCTGGATTATTTTCTAGCCTCCATGCTACCTTGAGTGGAAATGAGGAGGGTGTTCTAGAATTCTTTGTGCTCCTGGCAAGAGCCTTGTTTCTCCTTGAACACTCACAGCTTCCCTAGTTCATGCTCCGGGGCTGTCGGGATCCATCTCCCTGTGCCCTTTATTGCTGTTTACCTCAGCTTATACACAAAGCGCTGCTTCCCAGGACTGGTCACCTGGATCACCTTCCCATGCAGTTCTGCACAGCCCCTTCCATGAACTCATTGCTCACTGTTCCCTGTCTCCTCAAACCCTTCCACTGTCACTCTGGGACACATGGTTAGCCGCCAGCAAAATCTCTTCTTTCCTCAACTATCTTTGAATGTTCTCTTCACCTTCTTCCATCATCATCAAAATGATGAGGACATCATTTTCCCTGTAGCCCTGACCTACTATCCTGATTGGCTAATAGGCCTAGACATGCTCTCTCGTGACCCCTCTTCTCAATAAAAATGAAGTTTTAAATCATTCCCGTAGTAATTGTCTGCTGACCTCACTCTTCTGACACCTTGAAGACTTTAGCTCCGGCACCACCGGCACTCTTTCCAAAATTGTTCTTGTTCCAATTTTTGATGATTTCCATATCTGTATAGATAATCCAGGGCCCTCTGATGACCTCGCCCACCACCTTACCTCAGCAAAGAATCTCCATAGTCAAACCCTAGAACAGCACTGCCCGGTAGAACCTTCTGTGACAATGGAAATGGTCTTTACTTCCACTGTCCAATAGAGTAGCCACTAGCCACATGCAACCATTGAATACCCTAAATGTGGCTAGTTCAGTTGAGAACTGGAGTTTTAACGTTCTTTAATTTTAATAAAATTTAAATAGCCTCAGGTGGCTCGTGGCTGCCATAATGAATGGTGCAGCCTGGATCATGGAATGACCGCTAATTCTATCACCTTTACAATCCCAGTTTCAAGAATCCCATTCTCTGTCATCTTCTAACTTTCCAGTTTAATTCTTCCAGTTCCCTGACCTTGATGTTTGCTTGACTTTACTGGGACCTGCCAGCCAATGATCCTGTTATATACTCATTGTCCCTTATTTTGTTTGAGCCCTCATGTCTTTTTAAAATCTAGCCTTAATTCCACGATTCTTCATTATAAATGACTCCCTTGCATGCAGTCTCAACACATTTCCCAGCATCTCACTTCATTGTGGGTGCCTGGCCAAACCTCAACCCTTGTTAAATCCAACTTTTCTCTCTCTTCCCATCTCCAGACTTGAAAGTGAACATGGCTGGAGAAAAACAAGGGGATGCTGACATATCACAAAGGTGGACTCAAGGCTGCCCAACAAGCACACATTTCCAAAGTTGTTCCCCCTTCTAGACAGCTATTTCAAACCTTATCTTCTCTTCTCGTACTTTTAATAACCTTCCTCTCATCTCCCTCAATGGATAAACTGGATTCCTCTTTCAGGGAAAAATCTCAAACAATAGAGGAGACTTCCAGGTGCTCCCACCACTTTATCCATCAGCTTACTCACATTTAAACACGTAGGCTTTGCTTTCTCTCACATGGTAATGGGCAAACTTTCCATGCTCCTCTTCTGGGCTGGCCTCTCCTCTTGCGTGCCATATCTTATCCTTTTCCAAATGTCAAGAACATCACTGGCAATTCTGTCTTCTCCTTCAAGCAATCCTCAATGGATCCTTCTCAGCATATAGACATGCTATAATTTCTCCTCCTCAGGGCTTTGTGTTTGCTGTTCCCTTTACCTGTCATGCTGTTCCAGGAAATAGCCACGTAGCTTGTCTCTTCACTTCCTTTGAGTCTCTGTATCAATATCACCCTCCTGACTATATTATTTAAAACTGCAAAATTTCCCTCCTCCCTATCCCATTTCATTTTTATTCATAGGAGCTTCCAACGTCTGACAATCTATATACTCCGTTTTATTTATTCATCTGATCCTCAAAGGGAGGGGTCTTTCATTTTCGTTCTTGTCGCTGTACCCCCAGCACTTAGAATACTGTCTGGCACATGATAGGCCCTCAATGAATGTTTGTTGAAAGAACCATTCAGTGATTTCCCTTTTCTGATATTCCTAATGGTATACTGTAATGGTGTGATTTTTCCAAAGGAACAGCTATTCCAAATGACATTACTACCCACTGCTCTTATTCAGAAGTTCTTAGTGCAATGCTCCTCACACTTCAATGTGCATTTGAATCACCTAGGGATTTTGTTATAGGCAGATGATGATTTAGCAGGGCTGGGGTGGGGACTGAGATTCTGCATTTCTGACAGGCTCCCAGGTGATTCAGATGCTGTTGATTCAGAATGTATTTTGAATAGCAAGTCTGCTTTGGTTATCTTAATTTGTCTTCTCCTTTTCTTTTTTTATTTTAATAGAGTGAGAATAAATATTTACATACAACATTTACATATTTACCATGTAAACATGACCCTGAGTTCAAGTAATCGTATGGTAAGTGCTTCTATAGCTGCAGGTTACAACATTTGCATGGAGAGCCTCATCCATCACTGGATGTGCCATGGAGGAACTGTTGTCTATTTAGGCTGTTAAATGATGACTGTCCATTTGTTCTGGGCAGAATTAGGTTTTCTGTGCATGTGTGTAAGAATATGATTATTGATGCTAATAAGTTTCCTAGCAATTGCCTGATGCAATTAGCCATGTTTTGGCATGAAATCAATGCAAAGGCAAGTTTTGCCTTTCTATTCAGACTATTGTTGTATCACTCAGCTTTTGTCTAGAGAACAGTGTGAAGTGTTTCCTATGATCATCACTGTCATCAATTTGTTTAAAAATCATAGTCAGGGCCTCCCTGTAGAGTTTGTTTGGTTTGTGTGTGCCACAAAGAAGTCCAGTTGGGACGACAAATTAAGACCCCAAACTAGCGAGCATCCTTTTGCCAAGACAAGTGCTCTGGTTGGGGTTGAATTGCCTTTTTCATCTAGCAAACTGAATAAAAATGCCTGATGTTCAATGGCCTTGATCATAAAGCTAGAAAGGGCTACAAAGGAAAATAGAGAGGTCTGAACACAATATTTTCATTTTAGGGATGTTAAAGCACTGAGGGCCACAGCACTTGTTCTCATCAACATCATCATCAGCATCAGCATCATTGTCACCATAACCAGCATCATTGGCATCAGCATAATCAGCATCACTACCCTCATCATCATCAGTAGCATCAATATCACCATCATCAGCATCACCATTATCATCATCAGCAGCATCGATATCACCATCAGCAGCAGCATCAGCATCATCAGCAGCATCAGCACCATCAGCATCATCAGCACCATCAGCAGCATCAGCAACATCAGCATCATCGTCATCAGCATCATCAGCAGCATCACCACCATTATCAGCAGCAGCATCACCATCTAACATTTTTTGAGGGCTTCAGATGCACAAGGCACTGGGCTGATCGCTTTACATGCATTGTCTCATTTGTTCCCAACAATGATAGCCTTCAAAGTTAAGTATCATTATTGTTAATATCCTCATTTACAGATATGTAAACTGAAACTTAGAGAGATTAAGCAACTTGCTTAGGGCCACAGAGCTATGTGAAGTGCAATTTTCAAAAATGTAAATCACAATTCTCAGGAAAATATAAAATGATACCATGTCAAAGATTTTATTTAACTCAATGATTAATGAGAGAACCAATAAGAAGTTAAAACTTATTCAAAGAGCATTAGCGAATTTAGATATATGCAGGCAATTCAACAACAGAAAATAAGGCAAGTATGATAGGTTAAATTATGTTCCCTCTGAAAAAAAAATCTATCCTGATCCCTGGAATTTGTGAATATGCTACTTATGTTACTTTACAAGTAGAAAGGATTTTACAGACGTGATTAAATTATGGGTTTTTAATCACATCTGTAATGGGGAGATTATTCAGGATTATCTGGGTAGGTCCAATGTAATCATATGCATTCTTATAAGAGGGAGACAGGAGTGTCAACTGAGATGGAAGATATAAGAACAAAAGCAGAGGTTGGAGTGATGTGCTTTGAAGATGGAGGAAGAGGCCATAAGCCAAGGAATGTAGGTTATCCCTAGAAACTGGAAAAGACAAAAAAACAAATCCTTTTCTAGAGCCTCCAGAAGAAATGGGCTCTGCTTACACCTTGATTTTAGCCCAGTGAAACTGATTTTGAACTTCTGACATCTAGTACTGTAAGATAATAAATTCTCATTATTTTTACACCCTAAGATGTGTTACATTGTTATATCAGCAGTAGAAATTTAATACCTAAAGATTACTGGGTGAGATAGAAAGCTAGTTAATGTCCAACAGGGCTATCAACTGTAACCCTTGGAGCTAATTCTTCCACCAGAGTTAAATTATTTGCATCTTCGTGGGACCAAAATTTACAAATAAACCTCTGCCCTTATGGAGATGAAATTTGACTAGTCAGTAGAAAGCCCAGCGCTGCACTGGCAAATCACTCAATAATCTCTTCTGCATGTTCCCAAGTTTAGAGTACTCTTTTGGACAGTTAGCAGGTTGAAGCGCTGAGATTTGAACCAGGCTCTTCTAAGTCCAGAATCTGTGCTCTTAATCACCAACGAACATATTTTTTTAATTAGCATTATTTCATAGACTAGCAGGACAATCAGTGGCAAAGAAAATTGTCCATGGAAACTGAGAACACAGCTTAAAGATTGCCAGGTTTGGGCATGGTGGCTCACACCTTTAATTCCAGTGTTTTGGGAGGCTGAGGCGGGAGGATTGCTTGAGGCTAGGAGTTCAAGACCAGCCTGGGCAACAGGGTGAGACCCCCATCTTTACAACAACAACAACAAAAATAGCCAAGTGTGGTGGTGTGTGCCTGTGGTCCTAGGTACTCAGGAGGTGGAGGTGGGAGGATTTCGTGAGCCCAGGTGTTCAAGGTTACAGTGAGCTATGATTGCACACTAGCGTGGGTGACAGAGCAAGATCCTGTCTCTAAAAGAAAAATCTAAAAAAAAGATTGCCAGTTTGATTCACCAAGTCCTTCATGGTGCTTCCCCCAAACAGAGGACCACAGAAAGAACTTTCTCCCTCCTTAACATGGAAATTCCTACACTAGCTCCCTGAAAACTTAGAGCCAAGCTTTTAATAGGTGGTTTAGATAGGTTCCTGGTTGGAGTAACATGAAGGCTGGGGTGAGAAGCTAAAATACACCTCCCGACAACGGTTCTCTTCCTTCCTCAAGAGTAAATGGCCTTGACAGTCCGTTCTTTAAAACTATGTTACTTGGTTAGACATCAAAACACCTTGCCTAGTAAATGCTTGAAAAAGGTTTGCATTGCATTTGGTTTGGTGGAAGTGCAAAATAGACTTTGGGAGTGAGGAAAAGTCAGGAGGGATAAATGAGTGAGTTGTATCGGGAACTAGCATGGCATTCTTAAGAGTCATGTGGGCTGGGCACGGTGGCTCATGCCTGTAATCCCAGCACTTTGTGAAGCCGAGGTGGGCGAATCATGAGGTCAGGAGTTCAAGACCAGCCTGACTAACATGGTGAAACCCCATCTCTACTAAAAATACAAAAATTAGCTGGGCATGGTGGCATGCGCCTGTAATCCCAGCTACTCAGGAGGCTGAGGCAGGAGAATCGCTTGGACCCAGGAAGTGGAGGTTGCAGTGAGCTGAGATTGTGCCACTGCACTCCAGTCTGGGCGACATTGAAGCGTCCCACTGCAGTTGGGAACTTTTATTGGGAAGTGGGATCTGTAGTTGGACAGGTGGAATGTGGCCAGAATCTTGAAGCAGGGCTAGGCAGTGTAGGTTTTACCTTATAGGGCAATCATTCTTGACGCTGAACGTTAGAATAAACTGGCAAGAGTTAAGAAATATGAATGCAACCCTGTATTCATCTACTGAGGCTGCCATAACAAAGTACCATAGAATTGGTGACTTAAGCATTAATTTTCTCACAATGCTGGAGGCTAGAGATCAAAGTGTTGGCAGTGTTGGTTTCTCCTGAGGCCTCTTTCCTTGGCTTGTAGATGGCTATCCTCAACCTGTGTCTTCAGATGGTCTTTCCTTTGTTACTGTCCATGTCTGAATATTCTTTTCTTATAAGTCTTCCCCTATTGCTCTAATTCTTCCCATTAGGAACCTCACCAGCACCACATGACCCACCACCACCATCACAGGCCTTATCATCACCCCTGCCTTCTCTATCCCTGCAGCAGTCTAGGGATAGACACAGGGAGAGGACAGTCATCTTACCAGCCAAAGAAAGAAGCCTCAGAGAAACCAACACTGTCAACACTCTGATCTCTGGCCTCCAGGATTGTGACCACTCCCGCCACAGTTATCACAGGGGCAACTATAATAGCAGCCACAGCAGCAGCGAGCCCCATGCCAATAGAGAGACATAGGCAGTCACACCCATTGTAGAACCGATCACTTAGACCAAGTTATTAATTTTGTACTGGAGGAAACGGAAGTCCAGAGAGGTCAACTGACTTATTCAAGGCTACAGAGCTCTTAAATAGAAAACCAAGTCTAAAGATCCTATTATTTGGCCTCATGTTTTCTTTCTTTCTACTGGCCCACATGACTTCATCCTAGCCCACCAGCCCTGGAGACTGGACTAAGGACAGCCCCACTATCTGAGTCTGCTTTTCCTTCCTATCGGGAGCAAACCATCATGAAAAGCAGCCCCATTAAACTCTGATTGTCTGTGTCTGGGCCCTGTGTTCCCCTTGTCAAGGGGTTGAAATGCTCTGGTTTAAGGGTAGGCAGGATACTTCTTTTAATGTTTTTAGTTAGGAGTTGGTCAGCAAACAGGGACAAACCTGATCAAATGTGGCATAAGAAAAATGCAAACTTGGCTCCTATAACAAGACCAAGGCAGCCCTGGCTCAGGCACAGCAAGATTCAGGGCTCACTTGAAATCACGTGTCTCTCCTTTCTGCTTGCTTTGCAATCTGTTGACTCCAGTCTCAGACTCCATTTGGTAGCAAGATGGAAGCTTCAGCTTCTGAATTCTCTGGTGCAGCAGGAAAGAGGTAGCCTGTTTCTCAATAATACAAACAAAAGTCATGGAATTAATTAATGCAAAAATATTTATTGAAGTCCTAGTATGCACCAGACATTCTTCTATAGGCTGGGGATACTGAAGTGGACAGAGAGAAGAGGTTCCTGTCATCATGGAGCTTACATGAGTCTTCCTGGGCTCTGACGTGACTGTTTTTGGCCATGTGCAATCTGTGAGCCATGTGTCCAGGAGTATGCGATGTGCTGGGTCATGTGTCCCACTTAAAGAATGCAAGCCTCAGGCCAGGCATGGTGGCTCACACCTGTAATCCCAGCACTTTGGGAAGCAGAGGTGGGCAGATTGCCTGAGGTCAGGAGTTTGAGACCAGTCTGGTCAACATGGTGAAACCCGTCTCTACTAAAAATACAAACATTAGCCAGGTGTGGTGCTGGGTGCCTGTGATCCCAGCTACTCAGGAGCCCGAGGCAGGAGAATTGCTTGAACTCGGGAGGCGGAGGTTGCGGTGAGCCAAAATCACACCACTGCACTTCAGCCTGGGCTTTCTCTCAAAAAGAGAAAGCAGGTCTCTTTTTGAGTGCCAGGACTGTGTCATAGTTATGTTTGTGGTATGTCCACAAAATAAGCACATGAGAAGTGACATCAAATGGGTGAACAACTGAGTAAATAAACCACAGAGAGAGAAAAGTTCATGAAAGGCAAATGTGTAAAAACACATGAAAAGGGGACAAATCCAGGTAAATTGAACCATGAAATGCTGGCTCTCAGTTGCTAATCCAAAAAAGGACATAATATTCACTATAGATGACTTGCTAAAACTATTTGCCCAGTGTTTCATGTCAGGCCAAGAAAATCCTGCTCATTATTCAGAGAAACATTAGACACAAAATCTGAAGTTGCAGTTCATTTCAGAGTTGTCCCTGGGGGGTGTCAACAAACCGGGGTCACTCTGGGCCTCACACTTTGAGGGGCAAGTGAAAGAAGAAATGGAGACAGCTCACAGCTGGCAGCTAGAATATGTCGATGTCATTATGTAAATGTCTGCCACCCTCAGCCCTCCATGGTCTCTGTTGCAGCCTGCTGTGGGCACCTGGGAAACACTTCTTCCCGTTGCCTGGTGTTCTTGGACATAGCCTCTTAGTTCCTTTGATGTTCTGCCCTTAATGTTCATTTTATGCAGCTCTCAACTGGTAAAAAAGTTTAAGGC